TTTTCTTTGACGTTTGCCTTGGTGCAGTTTATACGAAATGGGATGAGAATCAAGAGGAGGGCAAGAACGAATCTGTGTTTGTGAATATCCTCTTCGTTGTTCTCAACGCCTCTGTACTGATGCTTGCCATCGGTAAGTGCCTAAGTTGGGTAAACAATGACATAAGGAATGTGCATGTTAGCCTTTAAGACACACGCGAGCTGCAAAGGCCTCTATAATTTGCACGTCTTAATTAGCAAATGAGGTTTGCAAAGATCACTAGAGAAGATTGGACTTGGAATCTACCAACTTTTTGCACTACTTTATTCCAACCAAATATCGGCGTAAAACAGCTTTTGTAGTAGTCAGCTCTCAAAATGGAATCGGCAAAATTACATAACGGCCAACATTAAAATAAAACCTTAAGACATTAGGGACTTAGACAAAAAAAGGAAAGCTTCTTTCGATTCTGTAAGGCGTTATTCCTGATCATGAGTCAAAATATTTTCCCTTGTATCTTAATAAAAGAAAATGCTTCTGATAATAAACAACGGCAGCTGAGGAAGAGTGTTTTTCCTTCTTCTCGCGCCCAGTCTCTCGGCGTTCGCTAGTTATGATTGGCCCATCGAATAAATGGGGGATGAAGATTCCCGCGCTAATTCGAGCTAACTTTGTATCAGAGTGTAGAATACTCAGGTTTAATGAGGAATTGCCTCGATTTCTTGCACGACAATTTACGATAACAATTTAGGACATTTAGTGGAAGAATCTGCAAGGAAAAAGAAACGTTGAATTATGTTTACAATGTCACGATTTTATTTTTGTTCTTTTATCTCCAAACGTCTCCGAAGGCAAGTCAATTTTTCTTCTGCAAATTATTACAACTCTTGTGTAATACAAAGCCTAGGTTTTCTGTTGAAGCCTTGTAAGAACCTACCAGTAATAAAATACTTGCCGTCCCTACCATAGTGCTAATTTCATTTTTTTTTTTCTTTTATCAGGAAAAGGGATTGTCCATATGATGTTATTCAAGAAGTATGTTTTCTTCTGTCCAATACGATCAATGCGATGTTGCAGTTTCCTTCGCCAAAAAGTCGCTCATCTTAAAAATAAAGCGGTCACAAGAACGGGAACATCT